TCGGCCTCTTATCTCCTCCTGGATTCACAGCAGCATCAAAGCGCTGACATCTGTGAATGTCACACGGGAACTGTGATGAGGACCTGGACCGCGGGGCCAGAAACAGCTCGAGTCGTCCCCAAAACTGCGGCCGGGGATGGAGCAGTCACCAGCAGAGGGAGCGGCAAAGCCAGCTCAGACATCCCCGGGCTGATGGCACAGAGGATTTGGGGAGTTTTATTGCTGGGTTAGAGATTTATAAGAAAATGTCCTAGAGAAGGGTAGATTTTTTTTTTTTTAATCCAATGTGAGTTAACGGTGATGTTGTTACTCTCTCCTGATGGCAAGAGAGCCAGGTTTCAGTATTACTTGTGGTTATGTCAGTGTTAGAAATGCTCACACATAACTTCCCTGCAGGCTGGGAGGGGGAAGGAGCGTGCACAGATGTGAGGGCTGGGGAAGTTCCCTCACCCCCATGCCCTCCTGTGTCCATGCCACCAGTCAAAAAGCGTGAGGCAGAAGGGACGAGTGGCAATGAAGGTGAGTTTTATCCAGTGCTTTCCTAGGGCAGTCTAAACAGCACCTCCCAGCAAAATCAAGTGGTAAACAATTTCACCAGTGCCAATGCTCACCCCTAACACCCTGGAATGTGCTCCTAGCTCACCTAACACAAGCAGCACCAATCTGGCAATCTGTCCCAGTAGCACCAATCCAGCCCTGCTTGACTGAAACAAGCCCTAATTTTGTTTCACCTCTGTGAAGTGGGCAAACCCCATAACATCTACCTGCTGGGCAAGCACAGGAGGAGAGAACAGCTATTTCCTCACACCAGGCCTTTCCCTCAAACTGTACCAGCTGAGACACATCAGACATGTCAGGATGTGCACTGGGAGAAAGCCAAGAGAGCCCAGAGCCCTTTGGTCAGGCGCCAGCCATCACACAGAGGTCAGGGATAAAGATGCACTGGGGACCACACAGGGCTGTGTATCCCCCAAATCCTGGGAGGGAGCTTGGGTAGTGGGAGTAAAACTTAGAGTAGGGAGAGCACATGAGTACTGCAAGTAGATGCACAACTGGAGGATTTGCCTTAGCTTCACACTCTCAAGGTCCAGCGCAAGCTGGAAAATCCTCAGAGTTTCCTGAATTTGCACCCCTTGTTGGGACAGGCAGAGCATCACTGTGGCTCTGTGTGACACTCAGCTCCTGCTGCAGTGGGAGCAGAGAGTTGTGCTGAGGCAGCAAAGCTAAATTTACCCTGGCCTGGGACTCTGATGCACAGTGGGCAGGGCAGGTTTAGGCACATGTAGCTGGCATGGGAGATGTGAGGGTTTTTGAGATTCTGGCAAAGCCCCAAAGTGGCTGACTCACTCCTCTCAGGTCAGTTATTCACAGCTGTAACTCCAGTGAGACCACTGGGTTATTTCTGATGTGCTTTGCTCTATGATCACATTGCCCTTGCTGCTGAAGGATGGCTCCTGTCTCCAGTGGACTTTATTTAGCTTCCACTTCAAAGCTATTCCATGAGAGGCAAACCAAAGTGGAAAGGTTATGGCATTTCTTTTATTTGGAGATTCCCCATCTTGAGTTATCTGGTGACTTTGAACTTGTTAGAATCAATGAACTCGTTGTAATCAATGCCCTGTGCTCTCTGTCAGCTGCACACAGTGAATGGATTCGTCATTTGCTGCTAGAGATGACTTGGCACTTGTGAGTTGTGTCAATGGATGCAAAAGCAGATTCATTCTAATTATATCGAACCATTGATTAACTTAGTAATTTAGTCTTGAAGTCCTAAAGGTTCCTCAGCAGTAAATCATGTGAGTTACAAATAAAGTGCACCGAGGAGAAAAAAAGAAGTTAAATGTATTTGTTAGCTTGAATATTTGGAAGGCAACTACCTGAACAAAACAAGCCCTGGCATATTTCTGCATTCTCTTCTCTTGTATTCTGTTAATACCCTACTAAAAATGTTGACTTAAACACCCCCATCCTGTGCTTTCTGTGTGTAATGGCAGGTCTGCTGTAGGGAGGCTGGCAAGGGCTCGGGTGAGTGGAGATTTCCAATTGCCAGCTCCAAGTCTGGTCTCTGTAGTTGCCTCATTGCAACAGATCTATTTGCTTATGGAGCAGCTGTGAAACTGCAGCAGAATTTAGGTATCCATGGGAGTATCCATGCATTTCACTGTTTGGAATAACATGTACCTTGTGCTCTGGGCAACACTCTGCAATTAGTTTGTGGAACTTGTTTGTCTCTGAAGACCTATAAATACACATACACAAAACTGTAGGAGAATGAGCAGTTACATGCTTAGAGCAAATGCATTCTCATGCAGGAGAGGTTTGCAGGCTGATCACATTCGCCTGGCACCCCCCCACCCCCTCGCAGTGTAGCTCCACCATTGATCTTTCTTTCATTTCACGTAAGGCTGACCAAAAATATTTACTTTATTCTTTCACATGCATAGAATTAAAAGGATGGGGAATTTCCCAGTGAAATCAAGGGCATTCACCATTCAGTGACAAACAGCCTCCACTGGGCTGCATTTGTCACTTTGCTCTCCGTCGGAGAAGGCAAAGAAAGAATAAAAACTAAACATTTCAAGCAGAGGCATTAATTCCTGGCATCAAACGTTTTCCCCTGTGATACACTGGCATCCTCTGAGCACCTCCAGTCAAAAGTTCCGTTTTACAAACCAACCTTGCTCCCCAAATGAGCACTTCAACTTTTCAAGAGACTTTCCCCATAAACGTTCCTTTTCCCCATTCCTTTCATTTAATAGAAAACACCAGACGTTGGGTTTCTTTGTGCAGCGCTCCTCGTTCGGGTGAGCTCCCATCACACCTGTGGTGGTGTTAACCCTTAGCGTGCCAGGATCCATCAGAAACTCAGGACGGTGGGGGATGCTAGAGTAGAAGTGGAACTTCCCGGGCTCCTCTCTGCTCTGCTACAGCTGAACCCAGAGACCCCAGGAGAGGATGAGGAGCAGGCGATCGTCAGGAATAGCCCAGGGCTGCCCGGTCCGTGCCCGGTCCGTGCCCGGTCCCTGCCCGGCCCGGGCGGAGCTGTCCCTTCAGCACCACGGCCGGGCCGGGCTCTTGGCTCCAGGAGGGAGGGGCGGCTGGCACGGTTCGGCTCGGCTCAGTCTATCCCGGGCCAGGCCGGGCAGGAGCTCGGCTCAGCTCGGGCCAGCTTGGCCCATCCCGGTCCGGGTCTCCCTGTGGAATGGCGGGAGGCTCCTTTACGGGGGGACAATGGGGTGGGTGTGTGTTCTTGGGGTGCGAAGGGGCTGCGAGGCTGGAGCCGCACCTGCGTGTGCGGGGAGATGTGCAGGGGAAGGGTCTGGGGGTGCAAAGCGTGCGGGGGTGAGGAGGGAGCGGGGCTGTGGATGCTCAGGGTCCCTGCGGGGGTGCATCGCACCTGTAGGAAGGTGCGCGCAGCCGAGTGTGTGTGCAAAGGGAGTGTGCACAGAGTCTACAGACGTCTACAGAGTCTACAGAGTGTGCGGGTCTACAGACGTGCTGCGGGGTGTGTGTAGGGTCTGTCGGGTCCGCGTGTGTGCGTGAGCGGGGGTCTCAGGACAGGACTCTGTGTGTGTGGTTTTGTACCTGTGCGGGGCGTGCAAGGTGTGTGAGCTGTGTACGGGGTGTGCGGGGCTGTGTGCGGGGTGTGCAGTGTGTGCAGTGTGTGCGGGGCTGTGTGCGGGGTGTGCAGGGCTGTGTGCGGGGTGTGCGGGGTGTGCAGTGTGTGCAGGGCTGTGTGCGGGGTGTGCAGGGCTGTGTGCGGG